TTAATTGTTTGCCTGGGAATAGGAAAATCATGTCTCTAATTTTCTTTATTATTAACAGCCAATCTTAAAGCGATTCCTTCTTTATGTGACTTTGAAAGACCGTAAGTTCAGAGGGTTACTGAAGGTTCTCTAGCATTCCTTTGAAGAAGTGAATCCACTTTTCGCATCTTAATTTTACCCTTGCCTACACAAACGTTAGGCGATTCCATAAGTCTGGCTTTAAAACTCTATGGGATCCTTATTTAAAATATGTGTTTCTCAATCATTTAAATGAACCATAATTTTTTCTCTATTACTTAACCTATCCATGATGTTTACTGCACCATTTTTATCTGCTTTCGAAACAAACATGTAATTTTGATGCAAATATCTAGAACTATTATTCAAGTCGTAAGATTTCTTCGGAATAATTACCTGGTCATAATGGGGAATCACTTTATATACTATTGTTAGCCACTTCTGGATGCTTGTCTGTTCTGTTAAATAATTCACTCAGTATCTCCACATAATGATATTGTTCATATGGCAAGGCAAAATTTTAAACCCCTTTCCAAGAACAGCTTAAGACTATCCTCTTTAGTTATACTGGATCAATTATTAACTTTATTCTTTGATATAACAAATAGTACTGAGTTTAACTTCGTCCCCATTTTTTCGACTATTCCTTTGGTTGATTTAATGCCTAATTTTTTTGTTTTTTATCAAACATGTGTCTTTGAATCTTATTCATCCTTTCAGCTAGCTGAGACTGGACATGAGATTGAATTGCATCAAATTTCTCGATTTGTTGATTATGCAATGTCTGCGTTTAAACGTAAAATTATGAGAAGCCATCGAAATAAACCGAATAGGCAATACATTGAATGTAATGAATATGGGCATGAAGTTAAGCAAAGACTACTCATTCTTAATTGCTAGTCTCAATTATAGAGAGTATGTTGAGCCTCCTGCAAAACGGAGGCGACTCGACTGGCCTTTTCTTTTCTCGTTTTGGTCCTAACCACATTTTTCTGTGCTCCTTAGCCAACTCTTTGTCTCTTGCATGAAGACTAAATCTCATCGTCACTACCAGACGTGTGTTCTGCATTGCACAATCGGAATTCTGGTTACAATATAGAGAGAGTGGTGATGGTTCTCAGCAAACCTTGATAGCCGATAACATATTTTACTTTTTCTGTTCCAATTACTTTGGACGATCGCTGCTGTTTTCGTACATATGCGAACACATACAGACAGACATCCTCCGATGCTTCGAGGTTGACATTGACTTGAACTAGCCAAATCATTTTATACCTCATTATAGAGCTTATATATTAAGTATATATACAACATTTAGGGATGATCCAATGAGCTTCTTGACTCACTACCTTAAATATGGTTTTAAAAATAATACCATGTTCTGATGATATTTATCATACCACCGACGAAAGCCTAGCACGTTTTCACCAAAATCTAATGAGATTCCCTCGGATACAGCGTCAACAAGAGTGTTTTAGATAAGCCAATCGACAGGCGTTTTAGAAGAATCCACTGTCGCATTCTAGTGCGATCAAACTTCAAATATCTTCACCAAGCACTTTAACTCTAAATTAAAGTAAGCTCACTGACAATCTTGCCAAACCATCTTAAATTTGTCCGGCCCAGAATGTACAATATTTGTCTCAAGCAGTCTCAATCGTAGGTCATACTAGCTAAATATTTGCCTGTTTGGCTATCGAGGTCAATCTGCCTCTGATTTCATTTTAATCAGCCAAGTCTTAAATTTTTTGCTGAATAGGGCAAATTAAACCACGCATCATTTGGTATTTTCTGCTGGATGCGGAACTTCATGTCCCTCTTTGAATTGCCCCATTTGGTCACCTACGAGTGACTGTATCTCTGAAACTGGAAACAGCATTTTCACCTCAGTCCATATAGTTCCCTAATATCAATGTTAACAAACTTGTCTATGCATTAGCTTTTTAAATTTATATCTAAAGACTTTTGCACCTTATCTTTATTGCGCTAATAGTTAGCAGCATTACGTTCATATCGAGTCCTTTTTATTCTGTTGCGTCTATTCACTGTTAGCCGACTTGATACATGACGATTTCGGGGATAGCTGATATGCTGATATTGGTTTTAAATAAATAGAGTCCATTCTTTTGAGGCCCGTTGGGAAAGGCTTGGATCTAGCAGTTTTAAAGGACTCATAAGCTGGTAACCATATCTGAGTGGGATTAGGGTTTTCTTATAATATTGCAGTATCTTCTTATTCACTTTCTATTCTCTTCTGTTCTATATTCATTTTTATTCTGTGTTTCTTTCTGATTTTTTACTTCAGGCCCTTGTAGCCAAATGGCCCAACAGTTCTATCGCAGCTTGGTCAACGGTTCACTCTGTAGTTCACCTGGTCCCTTGCTCTCCTTCGTTCCACTCACCGGACCTTCTGCTACGAATACACCCTCTGCTACACCATCACTTCCCTCCACATGCCCTCTTATACTGCCTCTCTCTTTTTCCGAGACTGAAGCTGTTACCACAGATGGCTCTTCTGAGTCTGGCATCTCTGACTGCTGCCCATCTGCTGACACGCCAACAAGCTCTGGCGCAACTACAGGCACAACCACAGGCACCACCGACACTACTAGTGGGGGCGGCTGTCCCCATGCGTTCAATGAACCTGAACTGGCTCCAAGCTCTGATCAGACCAGGGGGCTACAAATGAAGTCAGAACGCGATCCTGACCACGAAGATGACGCTTCAGTCTATGACCACCACAACCACCACGCTTATCATCACTACTACTATCACCATCATCACCACTCACATGTACATGGCCACCCCCATGGACACTCTCATGGCCATTCACACCTACATCAGCATCAGCATGCTCATTTACACGCACATCAGCACCATCCACATCCGGTGCATGGGCATGGACATGCACACACACATGCCCATGCCTACACACATCCGCATCCTTTACATGCACCCTTTGGTTCCGTAGATTCACCCACTGCCTCAGCTCTATTGCATGCTCATCTGCGTAGTCTTAGCTTCACACCGCTCTCTATCGAAGCTGACTTGAATGCTGCGGCTGCCTCTACTGCTAGTGGCGCCAATCTTAGCTCACGCGCAGATTGTCAGGAGGCTGATAACTTGTTGTCGTCAATAGAGCAGAAGCAGGATAAAGAAGATATTGTGAAATCCAAGGAACCAGAAGATAGTCATGCTAAACTAACTCCTGTTTCTGGCCCTTTGTTTATGGATGGAGCTGAGAACCGGGTTATTGGGCAGTCGAATAATCGTCGTGTCAATGAAACACGCTGTGTATCATTGGCCGATACGGTATCATCTTCTTCCTGTCCCTCTCGCGATCCAAATTCTCTGACTTCGACTGCTACCTCAGTGTTGCCCGTTCGAGCTGTTCTTGGTACTTAGACAATTTTTCATCTGGTAGTTGGATGTTGATCTTAAATTTATTGACTTTATTACCTCGCCTCATCTAATGGTCCGGTCTAGTCTCTACGTTAAACTCATCTGGAATATCTTGGAAGCTTGAATTCCTGGCTGCTCCTCAATGAGATTCAAATTCACAACCTTTCTTCACATCGCTTGACCACTCTAGCAATGCCCAAACTTCCAGACTATCTTTTATATGCGAATTTTCAGTTCTCTTATTTTCATTTTTCCTTTCTGCCTGCTTGTATAAATAGTCATTAAAGAAAAACAGGGAACGGATATGACTAGAACTGGGGGCTTTTGTAGTCACAGGTGTCAATGAAAACGTGAGGTACGAAAAGGAAGTCTTTTGCATCCTCCTTATAAACTTCGTTAAACTTGCCCATGTTCTTGCCTATTTATGCGGGCATTTATGCATATGTTTACACGCATATGAGAATTTGTACACATACAAATTTAAGTTGATATCGAGTTCTGGAGATACTGGGTTTACTTTCCATATTCGCATTGCCTTTCCATTCTACCATCTTGACTCAAGAGCGAGTCGTGACCATACCAAGTCCCTCACTATCCAAGTTTCCTACTACTATACAGGCCGGTTAACGCCTAGAAACGGATGCCTTTGTCTTTCCGCCCACATCGGGTCGTCTTACACTTCTAGGCCTGCATTAATAATCTACCCTATTTTCCTCTTTATTTATCACTCCAAAAATGTGTACATATGTTTGACAAACTACCAGCATTCTATTTATCCCCTGTTCTCTACCCTCTTTATTATTCTATTATTCAGCAATCTGCGTTAATATAGAAATATCTTTTTTCTTTCTCTACTATACCATAGTTTACAAATTAACGTTTCTTATTATGTTTGCACCGATGATTTAGTTCAATTGCCAGAAGAAACCATTTGTGTGTATTCACTTTCATAAATCCTTTTTATCTCCCATTTCCCTTCCGTTTCTCTATAATGCTGTCTATGACCCATGCCAAATGTGCGTTCTTCATGTTTCAGAATGCCTATTGTTGCCTCGACATCTCAACCAGTTCTTTTCCATTTTTGAACTCGATTTTTTTGTCTGACTCGTATAGCCTCTTTAGATTGCCCAGCTATTCTTATTTTCAATCGCTAGATTATTAGTATTACTATTACTACTATTATTATTTGTTACGTTTTCAAACCAGATAGGAGAATACTACTTATGTTCGAATATTATCTGATGATGCTACTATTATTATTACTACTACTATTATCTGATTATCCAATTTTAATACCTATTCTTGATTACTATTATTATGATATTATTATTGTTACTATTGCCCTTGAAAATGTTATTTCCTACATTCTGCTTTGCAACTAGCCTGATCACTTCCGGTCACTTTGAGCTTGTTATACGATCAAGGAAGAGTATATATCGCCTTTCGAGCTGTCTCTTATGAGCCACTTCGCACCCAGTTGCCTCTTATATCAAACTAACATAGCTAATGCCTTCTATCATTCAATATATTGCCTTGACTTCCAACTGCGCCAGCAAGGGGGCTTTCCATCCAACTCGCCATAGAGGCTGAAATCAGCATCTTTTTCCATGCCTTCCTGCGTTTCAAATATGGTCATTAAAATCCAGAACTTCTTCCAGCGAAAACATTACTTAATTACATTTTCTTAACCCAAACATCTCCACCAGTTATAATGATATTGCTAATAAGAATTTTTCTATCTCCTGATATTGTTAATACTTGTTTCATTATTGTTACCACTACTTTTACGCTCATTACTTTTGCCACGACTACCAATATTTGAATAATAGCAACGGCATCTGCTCTTCCAAAATAATAGCTTTTTCGAAACTTGCTTTTTTCATCCCATAATTCTTCTACCATTTAAGCATACCTATCTGTTTAATTTGGCACCTGGGATTTCTCATGCTCCGCTCAAATGTCAAGATGTACCACTCATTTTCTCCTTTTTATATGCACTTGCATTAAGACACCTTTCGATTTTAACTCCCAGTTTGCTTGTACATAACTCCAGCTTTTTCCCTCTACTGATTAGTTCAGGAACTTTCCTTAATATTTCAATATTAATATCTTTATTCTTCGTTCACATCGATTCACCTACTATCCTCTCTATGTGGTGTCTGTCAGCTATTATTCTAAATTCAAGGCCCTTAACTACCAAGCTGAAAATCAACTAATTTGTGCTTTTTACTAGCATTTCCGAAACGATCGGGTGCATCTATTTTGCCAGAGGCCTTCAATGCATCGAGAGCTTTTTTGTCTTTTATCCTAACGAACTTGGCGCGTTATCATAATTATTATTCCCTGTTATCATAATTATTTTTTTCTAAACTCATCACATTCCACGGCAACTGATTTGTCTCTGATTTGTGCAACAGGTGGGGACTGCCTCCTCAGTCTTGGAACGCATGCGCTCTATCTCATTTCATCTCGTCAATGCAAATGTGCCTGCTTGCGCTGCATCGCCCTGTGAACAAGTCTTCTGTAGGTCATGCTGATCTACTGCCATGTTCTTTTTATAGTTAACTTTGTTATTCTTCTCTCATTACGTATCGTGTGCTTATGTGTCCCCAGTACGCTCCTTCATTTTGCCCTATTCTCCTCCAAATAGAAATCCGCACGCGTATACTTACGTATATACGCGCCTGGTTACTTTTCTGTACATACGAATAAATATACTTTGAATTATATTGAACATTTCCTGGTTTTCTTATTTCGAATATTGCCTTGAATTCGGCAGTATTTGTCCTCAGCCAGTTTGATTTCACTTTAGTCAGCCACACTTGTCCTCGATCTTCCATCCATTTCCCAGACTGCAATATTAATTATGTTCTACTTTCCCTCATACTATTCTTCCTTCTTTCCCACCAGATAACTCAGTGGGTATAGACACAAATGTATATGTTTCCCCATCTTATTTCGACAAGTTTGATTCATTTGGACTTTCTGATCACTCCATTTTTTCTATTGTCTTAACTACTAGCCACACATGAGGTCCGCTTAGGCAGTTCATCAATTTCGATTTTAAAGCTTGCAGTAATTCATTATTTATACTGCACAACTTGGCCTTTTCCAGGCATAAGTGTCTTTCTTTTCGACTTTCTTCTATTTTTCTAATGGCCCTGTCATCAATCCTCTTATATGCTACTTAAACTACTTTTCTTTAGGCTTTCTTGGACGTGCAGCTTGTAGGAATATTATTTACTTTCCTTTAGATCTGTACTCATTTCACTTATGTGACCATTTGCCTTCCCTGTCTTTATCTTCGTCTTGTCTTCATGTCACCAATCCCTCATCGTTAGTCGAGACCCTCTTAATTTCCATTCTTTTCAATGCCCGTCCCTACGAGATCTTAGTTTGGCTCCCTACTTTGTACGTCATCCGCCAGACATATCGAAGTCACTATCAGACATTGGATGATAGGATGGAATGATAGACACATAAGTGGGAATGATGCATGAGTGAAGTTCTCCACTCTGTGTTTTCTCTCAGCCTTATTTTGGGCCTTAAAGTTATCTTTTTGGTGGATTAACGAAAGCAATTTGGCCATCTATGATTTCTTTATTCGTTTCCAAGCCAGTGGTACTCGGCTTTCTTTCCCATATTCCTATAATCTATCATTATCTTGCAAACTGTTTGGGTCAGTCTGCATTCTTCCCCTTCGCCACTACCATTTACCAGTCAACGGACCCCTCCATCTCTACTTTTATTCCATATTTAATGCCAAACATCCCTGGAACTGATCGATCTATTATTCTCGTTCTCTTTTCCATTCCTTTTTCTCTACTCTTCATGCCTCTCAGTTTGATCAGAGTTTCAAACCGATAAGGTCCACTACGTTGACGTCTGGTCGACTAAAGGCATCAGATAACGTTACAATTCTCCATTTTACAGATTAATAGGCCACTCATTTACTCCGAATCCTAGGAAAATATCTCCTTTCACCTCGCTACACGTGCATGTATGATTAATTGACATTTATTTTTTCTCCATGGACTACGCCGTTTTTTTCTGCCTGTATAATAATCACTGCTCTGTTGGATTCGACTTTCTTTTGTCACTTTAAAGCGGGTTTATTCTCAGTGAGGGTTCAGGTCAAACTACTGATTCTAGAATTGAAGGACTAGTTCTTGCACAATCTCCTCGGACAATCGTTTATCCGTTATCTACCATTCGTCTGAGGGCGTGCTCTTATTGGCCTTACTAAAGCTGAGGGAAGACGACATTCACTGTTAAGCCCTCTTATGACTAACTCAATTGTCGGGATCTCCGAATCGGTTTTGTCCTGTGTCCTGGCCCTATAGAATATCATCCATCTTTTTCCACATACCTCTAAACGTCGGTGGATTAAGAGGATGAATTTCTTTGCCATTTAGTTTGGACTAACAGGCTATCTACTCAAAGGTAATCTATGCTTTGCGTCTCATTAGGAGCCATCGATATTGCATGTTGACTTGAGTATCAAGTTAGAGGACATGCAAGTTGGCAACTTAGTGTTGGGTGCTACAAAGACTTGGCTCACATGACTGTTCTTTGTTCGTCCATATAAACCTTTATTCATCTAGCTAACTTGGATAGTGATGGCAAATTTCTGTATAATTTTTGACCCGTCTTTTTCAATTGATCTACATATTTAGCGGTTTAGTTTTCTTGATTTTACTATTAACGGACTTGATAAAGCTCAATCTGGATTGATTAAGATGATAATGGAGACACGATTTGTCTAAAATAAACTTGGGGAAATATGCATTATATTTCCAGACTTTCCATCAGCCCAAGATGGTTCTTCAATTGATGATAATTTTGGTGATTTTTAAGCAAAAGCCCGATATCGTACTGGTCTCTCATCTCCAGGGCAGCGTAAAGTCGAAAATATGCAATACTCGGGCGCACAGTCTCGGTTTGCACATTCACACGATATTTTTTACCCTTTAGCAAGGAGTTGAGAAATTTTGGGCCTAGCA